GGTTTTACTATTAACTGTTAAATCCGTAAATCGTCTGCGAATAAGGTTTCGCGAATGTTACTGGTTAATGCCTGTAAGAGGGACCCTCATTATTGGCGTCCGATTCCCGGACGGTTCCCGTGTGATCATCAACACAAGGTCCGCCTAAACTTGAACGTTGGAGGACTAGTAGTCGGGATGGAGTGATAGGAATTCTGGTGGTTTTTTTTTGTATTATTATTATATATATTATATGATATATATATATATATATATATATACCCACAGATCCTCAACTCCGGTGTGTTTCACTCATTAACAACGAAACGAAACACAGAGCAACAAGAACGTTGGGGGGGGGGTGTGGTGCCCCCACAAATAGAACCAAATTCTGTGGGAAACACTGAGCATGTCATCAAATATGGAGAATACATTTTCCAATTTAGGTAATTCATCCAGAATCGGAATCAGAATACCTTTATTTGTTCCACAGAGGGAACATTTACATTGTTACAGCAAGTAAAGAATAAAAGATATCCTAATATTAATTAAGAAACATGCATTCAAATATTAAAGTTAAAAGTAAAGATTACACAATTTACACATCCAGTAGCAGTAACAGTGTTGAGATAGCAGCCAGGTGAAAGCAAAGGTGGAAGTTTATATTGGGCAGCTATTTAAGGTATATTAACCACATCCTCCACAAAGGACTCCCCAGAGCTGGCCTCCAGTCTGCTCAGTCTCTTCCTGTCAGCAGCCGAGATGCTGCTACCCCAGCAGGCCACACCATAGGAAATGACTGGTGCCCCAACAGTAGAAGGTCTGAAGGAGTGCCCCATGCACCCCGAAAGACCTCAGTCTCCTCAGCAGAAAGAGTCTGCTCTGTCCCTTCTTGTACAGAGCAGCAGATTTATCAGGCCAGTCCAGTTTATTGTTCAGATGAACACCCAGGTATTTGTAAGATTTCACAATCTCAATGTCCGCTCCCTGGACGTTCACTGGTGTCTGGGGGGAGCCTTGGCACCGTCTGAAATCCACCACCATCATTAGAGATGAGGACAACAAAGGCGGAGTCGTCAGAGAACTTCTGCAGGGGAGAGGTTGCAGTATTGTGGGTGAAGTCTGCAGAGTACAGGGTGAAGAGAAACTATATATAAACTGCATTTATTAACTGCTTTTGCAGTCTTTTAATGCCTCAAAGCACTTAGATGACAGGTCAGCATCCACACACATTCATACAGCGGCAGATACGGCTTTACAAAGGAACCTGCTCATGAAAACTGACCTCCACACACACTCACTTACTGTTGCCAATGCCGTAGGGAGATATTGGGGTTAAGTATGTCGCCCGAGGACAAATAATGTGACCTCAGGGGCTGGAGAGTTCATCCAGAACCTTCCAGTGAGACCACCACCATCTACTGAACTCTACTGAGTCTTTACACCTGCAACCCACAGCTGCTGGACTCCAGGATCCTCCCCCTCCTGCCTGGGGAATGTGGCCCTGAGACCGAGCAAGGCCTCTCCCTCCTCCCCCACCGTCCTCCTGCTATTGTACTCTGCAGCTCCCAGGTGTGAGCGAGTGTAACCGTGTGAATGTGAATCAGAATGTTGTTGAGAAACACGGCACACGCTCGGATAAGCTTCCCGGCATGAATACAAAAACTAAAGAGGGAGAAAAAAAAAACCTTAGGTGAGAGTCCCAGGAGAAATATCTGACTAGATTTCCTTGTCAAACCCTGGGGAATCCAAACCTGCTTCTTTTTGCTGCTGTATCTTCTTAAAATGTTCAACACATCCCCAGCTGTGTTAGCATGTACAGTAAGTCCTGAATCCTGCTGCTCCACTTTAAATGAGTTGGCACATCAGCAGTCGAAGCACCAAAGAGAAGCCGAGTGAAGGCGGCGTCTGTAAACACCGTTACATAACATGTATGTGTCTTAATTGGCCGGTGGAACGACAGACTCCATTTCTCTCCGTGTCTCCATGTCAGATGCAGTCGGGACGCCGGCCGGAGACTGACAGAAGTTCTCAGAAAGGCTTATGTAACTCGTCATTGTGTAA